TAAATCGCCTTCATGCATGAATGAATGATATTTTTTGCAATTTTACACATAATAATCCACGATGATCACGTTACACAAAACTGAAATTGCACGTCAAAATAACACATTGTCAATATTTTTTGAGACCCCCCAAAATTTCACAAATCACGTTTTCAGGGGAGCCCATGTCTTATTAAGGGGAGCCGAGCTCCCCGTAGCTCCCCCGTAGTTCGCACCCTGCCGCTCTCTACAGACACTCTCTCACTAGATCCTTGAGCAATGCCAAGTGCGCAGTCCTCAAAACTCAATGAACAACTTTCATATAGACCAAGTTTACAGACCTCTGATTAGCCAGCTGTACATACATGTCTGCATTGTTATTCAGAGAACCTTTGAATCATTTGTTCGTGAAGTTTGTACGCAGATTTCACGCACAAATTTGCTTGTACGCACGCTTAGTGAATGAGGCCCAATGAATTCACTCAGTATAAATGTGGCATACAGACTTTCTGAGTGAACTTTAAGTGGAAGGAACAAGGAACTCTGTACAAGGAACTCTCCTGCAGTCTTTGCCCAGTGAAATGGGAAATCAGGTTTATTATTTTATTGTGCGTTGTTTATTTTCGTCAGAAGTTCCTGAATACAGGTCACATCAGAAAACTGCTTCATGAAAAAAAAAAATCATAACCGTATAGTTCATACAGCTTCTGTGCTATATTACAAGTCTTCTGAAGCCCATACGATAGCATCCGTCCCCAATGCTTTCATTGTATTGTATAAGCAAGTGCAGCATCACGCTCTGTGAATCATTTTTATTTTATGGGTTTGGATCTACATAGAGGAATATGACAGACTTCATTTTTGGGTGAATTATTCCTATTCCTAATAGGGACAACTAAAAGGAAGCCTTAGCCACTAGATAAGAACAGTAAATAAACTTACTTCATTGAACCATAAACCTCATTTAGGCCCCTGAGAGCCCATTGCTGATTTCCAGTAGTTTTATTTACACGATTACATTGAAGACTAAGAATAAAAAGAGCAGCATACATTGGAGAAACACTGGAGCATCAACATCACCATTTACTCCACTTCAGTGTCGTATTGATACTCATATTTTGGCACTTTTATTTATGATTTATTTTTTCTATAAGAATCACATGTATAATCATGATTCCTTAATTCTTCAGTAGTTTTATTCTCTTCAAGTTCGGTCAACCATAAATGTCCACAAGTGTCAACAAATGTCCAAATCCCAACATCTTCCACCAAGACAAACAGGAATAAATGGGATCTGGCAGAAATCGCACCAGAGCTCAGTGCGGTGTGTTCACCCCCGTTACCTGCTCTGAGTTCCCTTCAGCCCTGATTTGCTGCCTCCTCATCTTCCATTGATGCCTGACGTCACTTGATGCGATGCCGTACCAGCGAGGACTCATCTGTAATCTCGCCGTCTCTGTACCGTCGGCAAGGCAGTATGAGCAAGATGAGGAGTAAGATCAGAACCAAGGCACATATGCCCATCAAACCATACACGATCACCCACATCACCGGCTCCCTAAGAGACACGCCACTTGTGCAGTCTGACGCTACGCCCTCAGCTAGGAAGGGCCCAGCGATCTCTGCAAATGGCACACCACCGTTTTCTGTTGGAAGGACAGAAGAGGTATTTACAAAAGTTAACAAAAAGATAGGTGTCCTTAGATCTTAGACCTCTGAAACTCAAATTACATGAGGGCCACTGGCCAGGTGGTGTTCTCAGCTTCTGTACTTATGTACATTTTTCTAGTAGCTCTACTTTATTTTTATTTCGGTATCTAGTATTTTTATTTCGGTAAACTTCTCCTTCATTACATTCCAAAGCATGGTATCGAAGTTTAAAAAACAAACAAACATATTGTTCCTCGTTATTTCGAACAGAAGAAATCACCACTCCCTCGGAGATGCAAGAACGATTCTTTGTAATGAACCTGTTGAAGTGGTTCACAAATCACTCTGAATGATTCATTCAGGCTCGGACTGATCGGATTGCAGCTAATTTTGAGTCAACAACTCCGATCAAAAAGGGCCAAGAACCAGAATATCGTCAGAGCTTAAATGCGTGCGCGACTGATGGTGCAAAAAGTTACTAATACCGAATTTTAGTAGTGATTATTGTAAACGAAAATCATATTTAGGTCATGACTCAGTTATTTGTGAACTAAATGTGCTGTAAAAGGTCAAGATGTTTAAGCCTATTGAAATGACTGAATAAGGAATGTCCTCATTTGTTTGTCACCGTCTGTATGGAATAGGCAGTATTAAAGTAGCAGTTTCAAATGATATAACGCCATTTGAAACACATCTGAACCCACCTACCTACACAAGCGCTAACAGCAAAGCCCACCCTCTTTTGTGTGCGGTCAAAGATGACGTAGAAGCCCTCCATTACTGTGGCTCCAATGACTAAGCCGTTTGCTGAAGGGGAGATTCCGAAACGGAAACAGTCCAATGTGCCATCGATATTGGTGACTGGCTGGACATATAGCTGCGGAGACAAAATTTGATGTCAACAGAAGAGCAAGTATGCACAATCCTGGTTTCTGGTAATTTTAAGAAATTATGTAACATCACATCAAAAACCACAAAGTATATCATTAATTTAGAGCCAAAAGGTCCCATGTACAGTACAATAGAGGGCAATATGGTGAAAATGTATAAACTGTTCAAAAGAGAGCTACAATTGATATGGGGGCAGTCGTGGGCTAATGGTTAGAGAGTCGGACTTGTAACCCGCAGGTTGTGGGTTCGAGTCTCAATACCGGCAGGAATTGTCATGGGGGGAGTGAATAACCAGCGCTCTCTTCCACCCTCAATACCACCACTGAGGTGAGACCCTTGAGCAAGGCACCGAACCCCCAACTGCTCCCCGGGTGCCGCAGCAATATGGCTGCCCACTGCTCCGGGTGTGTGTTTTGTGTGTTCACTACTGTGTGTGTGTGCACTTGGATGGGTTAAATGCAGAGCACAAATTCCGAGTATGGGTCGCCATACTTGGCCACACGTCACTTCAGTTCAATTTCTTAAATCCTAACAGAGACAATGAATGGACATATATTTCAAAACCAAGCCTGCTGGAAAAGCAGGTTTAATTTATTTTTATTTCAATCCTTTTTTTATTTAAGTTTAAGATTTTATTTATTTTATTTCCATTTAGTAATTTTAATACTTCAACTTAAATTAGACTGAAAAACAACTGAAAATTAGAAATGTTGCCTTGGCAACTAACTGAAAAAAATAACAAATAAATTAAATTTCAATTAACAAAAATCTTTCAATAGTTTTAGTTTTAAGTTAACAATAAACTACCAAACTAAACTATGGCTGTTCAATGTTTCACTAAAGTCCAAAGTATTCTTCGTTTTTTTTTTTATGTGTATGCGTACAATCGAACGCTTATACTCCATTTGATAGCGTGCACATACGCAGGCGGCCTATACATGCGTTCTAGAAAGTTTCCTCTTTGTCCAGTGTCTACGCTATTCTTCTCCAGATGTTATGACTGATAAAATGATCTTTGTACTCTTTTAAAATAAAGTTGTGTCTATCTCATAACCTTCTCACACAAGCAATCGTCAGTGTGGGTGTCTGTTGTTGTTAAAGTCTTAAAGTAAAGTTTTGTTGTTGTTTCAACTCTTTAGTTTGGTTTTCTTCTGTGAAACAACGGCCCGGGCCAATGTTGCCACCTTGTGGAACAACTGAATAGGGCAAAATCAATTCAATGCACATGTGCGACCTGTGCGTGCAAAGTACGGCTACAAAAATCAGGTGGTGCATGTAGTGTACGCACATACTATTCTGGTGACGGAATTTGAGTCAAGAGCACTGAATGGGAGACCCTTGTGTACAAAATGAAGTGTACTTTGGGCTTTAGGGAAAGTTCTGACCTGTGGGAGAATGGTGAGGCGGAAGGACTGGCTGGTGTTCATTGCTCTGAGGTAGATTGAGATTTTCGGAAAAAGCCTCCATGGTGATTCGCCTCTCATCCAACATGCAAGCTTGGTGCCATCAAAAAATCCAGCTGAGAAATCCTTAATCTAGCATAGCAGGAGAGAACAGAGTTGCACACAATCAGTTGTAACTGAGGAGTCATTTTGAAGACTGAGTCCCTTAAACATGCACAAGATTGTGTATGTGAGGCAAGTCATTTGCCAAAATGGAAGGTCATACCAGTGATGTTTGCATAATGGCCTCCACCACAGCACTAAACACATTTCCAGGAAGTCGCAGTAAAGTCGTCCCACTATCCACAATGGCTTTATCCGAGTTGTACTGAACAAAATGACCAAAGGGAAAGAAAGATCAGTCAAGGCCTCCATCAAACAAAAAGCAATACCTGCTCTGCTTCTCTCAGGATTTCTTAAAAATCACTACATTCTTAGCAGTGATATTCTCTGCCATATATTTTATTGAATGCTTGAGTTGCTCTGCTGGCAGACTTTAAAGGTACAATTTCAGCTCACCAGTCACGACTCTTTAATGTCCTCACAAGATCAGATAACCATTGTGTTTTTAACTCCATCACTATCTGAAAGGATGCACTAGATTTTCTGCTCGAATTGGCTTCATTCAAAATAAATGTAAAAGTGCATACTTTCTGAGCTGGACTGTGTCATATACCTCTTTGCAGTCTAGGTTTAAATTTTGGGCTCCAACTTCAAGTTTCAAGACTTCCACTTGATAGTACCATTCTTCTAAGACTGGTGTGTACCAAACTGAACCCCGGTACAAGGTTGGCTCAACTCCTCCCATGATCTGAAACACAACACAAAGACATCAATAGCATATAATAGCATATAATCTGAGGCATATCGTCTTTCCTTTGTATATACTAAAAATCTTCCAAGATATTAACAATGAATTAAAATTAAGGCAAGACACTATAGGTTAACAGGGTTTTAAATTTTAACTAATAGTTTTCCCAACCGATTAGCCACAGTACATTAAGACAGTTGTTTTATATTACACGTTTTCTGAAGTGTTATGCTTAAATATGCAAACGAGGTATCATCTAATAAAATATATGCACACATTTGCATACATTTTGAGAACAGAGAACTGAATCGGATAAAGCCCAGTTCAAAATTTTGTTTCACATTAAAGGGATAGTTCACCCAAAAATGAAAATTCTGTCATTAATTACTCACACTCGTGTTGTTCCAAACACGTAAGATCTTCGTTCTCCTTCAGAACACAAATTAAGATATTTTTGATGAAATCAGAGAGCTTTCTGACCCTCCATAGACAAGCAAGGGTACTACCACGGTCAAGGCACAGAGACGTAGTAAGAACATTGTTAAATTGGTCCATGTGACATCAGTGGTTCAACCAAAATTTTACAAAGCTACGAGAATACTTCGCAAAGAAAACAAAAATAACAACTTTATTTAACAATTCTTCTCCCCCGAGTTACCATCTACCGCTATTATCGAGAGTAACACGACGCATGCGTGCTGCAGTCGTAAAACATGCATGTGCTGCGCCTTGTTTACGAGCAGAGGAAAGCACTCGCATGCGTTGTGTCACTCTCGATAATGGCGGTAGATGGTAACTCGGGAGACAATAATTGTTGAATAAAGTTGTTATTTTTGTTTTTTGACCACAAAAAGTATTATCATAGCTCCATAAAATTGTGGTTGAACCACTGATGTCACATGCACTATTTTGTCGATGTTCTTGGTACCTTTCTGGGCCTTTTTTTTTTCTTTCCACTAGATATGGAAGCAAAATAGCCCAAAATCTCAAAACTGACCAGATACCAATGTTTTGTTTTGTTTTCCTGTAGTGTCTTGCTTTAATAAATCTATTACACTCTTAGGTAAAGTCCCTGAACAGGATTTCCCCTTTTTAATTAATTTAATTTATTTATTTATTTTTTAAAAACATTTACTTAAATGCTACTGTTTATTACTGTTTTATACAAATTAAGGGTGTTTTCTATATTTATTATTTGTATTTAGTATTAATTTATCTGTTTAAGTTTATTGCTGCCTTCCTAATTGACAGTAAAAATAGTCTCTGTATGAAAATAAAATAAAAATTTAAAATTTAATTATTTATTACTAATTATATTATTAAATAAATAATTTACAGAGGGAAAACTATTTTGACAGAAAAATAAGAATCTCATATCTGACAGAACTGGTGTAATCTGAATTAGCAAGTTATCTTTTGTAACTAACAACACCATGGCTGATCTACCTATTTATCCTTATATTTAAGAATATCAGATAAAGCAAAAAGCAAAAAAAAAAAAAAAAATCTCAAAATACATCCAAAAACGAAGATAATAAAAAATAAAATGGACTCAGATCTGTCACTTTGACTTCTGCAAATAGCATCCAATTAAGAGGTTAGTCAAATATTTCCAAAAGGCTTTGGACGTTGTTCAGCGGTGGACACAGGACACACCCCTCCCCACCTTGCTTCCCATCTGCTCCTCTCTGCGGGACACGTGACCACCTCTTCTTCCAGCGCTCCTGTATTGCTAACAGAATGTGCCAGCAGCAGGGGGCTCTCTTTAGCTTAATTAGCTTCTCACTAACGAGACACGCTGTCCTATAGGAGGCAGCGGAGGTGTGAGACGCAGAGATGCACTGAGCTATTATGTTTCTATTGGAAGTGGACAAGCTGTAAATTGGGTCCAGTTCTTTCCAGGAAGAACTATTAATTGATTAAAAATTCTACACATTTTTCACTATTGTGTCTCTGTTTTCTGTAAGTCTGTTGTGTCTCTGTTTTCTGTCAATCTGTTGCATCATTGTTTGAATACATTTATTCAGTCTAATATTTTGGAGCCCTCTATAATGATAATCTATTTCTAATAAACCTCCACCTAATCACCATGTAAACAAACTCTTTGTTCGCTTTACTTTTTCAGACAGTCTCTTCGTGTAGTTCTTGACCAGAATAAGCTGCATTGAATAATTTCTGTAATTTAAATTTTAAAAACACTGATGCATAACTCTAAAATAATATAACAAGAATAAATAATATAATAAGAGTATTAATATAATCAAATAATATAATAATAAGCTATCTCTTCTATTGTTTAGCTAATTTTGAAATATGCCTACAGTAAAATATGCTAATAATGAAAGAGAAAATTAAGTTTTAAATCTGTGCTTGGTAAAACTAAAATTGCTATTGCCATAGAATTTAAAAAAAATTTTTTTTATTTAACTGAACAAATACAAGGACATTAACTTTTTATATATATAGATACGATGATTTTAATTGATTTTTCAAATATAATGTTTTTGTGACTGAATTAATAAATATTAATACAGATACTTAATTTTGACACTAATCTTGACAAATGATTATAAACAAAATTTTATAACTTCTTCAAACATCTGACATGAAAAATATTATCTACTTATGTCTGAGGTCTAAGAGGTCCTGTATATAATACATGAATAGTTTTTTCATGTTAACATGATCAAATTGGTGTACACACTATAGCAGTTAGTTGGATTAATTTGTAACTAATTTGGATTGTATATTTTTGTAGTTCGGTGCAAAACTACTTCTGGTTTGGTACACACCAGACTGCCGCCCGCCGGGTCAGCTGTAGTGCTGGCAGAGACTCCTGCTCCACACATCTGGAGAGAAAACACATCTGGAATGCTGGTCTGTCTCACAACAGAGTTGAAGAAGGGCTCCACTGATGGGTCAGGCTGAGAGAAGAAAAATACAAAATTCATCCTATGGAAACTGAAACAAAATTTTAAATACTTATTTTCAAATAATATAATACTAACGCCTAAACAGTACAAATCAATATTTTTATTGAGTATTTAGAATTCATTGACCAAAAAAATAAAATAAAAAGACAAGGAACAGATATGCTCCCATTCATGTTAAAAAATAAACAAATAAATAAATAAATAAGTTTGATACTACGGTAAATATATTAGAAATAAACAAACCATGGCACAGAATAATTACCATAATCATTTACAATAGTACATGGTCCTTCAAAGAATATCAACGTACCTTTACATGTCCAACCAATTGTTACTATCCTCGTACTTTTTGGTGCTTTTTTTGTCATGCCATTTAACAAAACAAAATATTTACAATTATTATCCATTACTTTCTGTAACATGGCTCTTATGTTTTGATGTTACAGTGCGCTGTTGTAGTAGAATGTGATGAAGGGATGTGATCTTACAATGCTCTGTTATAGTGGTGGGATTTAAGGATTTTATCTTACAATGCTCTGTTACAGTACTGTATGATGTAAACTATACTGTAGTATGTGATGTAGGGATATGATCTTATAGTGTTCAGTTAGTGTGTGATGTAGGGATGTGATCTTTCAGTGCTCTCTTACAGTAGTGTGTGATGTAGGGATGTGATCTAACAGTGCTCTGTTAAAGTAGTGAGTGATGTAGGGATGCGATCTTACAGTGCTCTGATGAAGTGCGATCTTACAGTGCTCTGATGAAGTAGTGTATGATGCAGGGATGTGATCTTACAGTGCTCTGTTATAGTAGTGTGTGATGTAGGGATGTGATCTTATACAATGCTCTGTTATAGTGGTGGGATTTAAGGATTTTATCTTACAATGCTCTGTTACAGTACTGTATGATGTAAACTATACTGTAGTATGTGATGTAGGGATATGATCTTATAGTGTTCAGTTAGTGTGTGATGTAGGGATGTGATCTTTCAGTGCTCTGTTACAGTAGTGTGTGATGTAGGGATGTGATCTAACAGTGCTCTGTTAAAGTAGTGAGTGATGTAGGGATGCGATCTTACAGTGCTCTGATGAAGTGCGATCTTACAGTGCTCTGATGAAGTAGTGTATGATGCAGGGATGTGATCTTACAGTGCTCTGTTATAGTAGTGTGTGATGTAGGGATGCAATCTTACAGTGCTCTGATGAAGTAGTGTATGATGCAGGGATGTGATCTTACAGTGCTCTGTTATAGTAGTGTGTGATGTAGGGATGTGATCTAACAGTGCTCTGTTATAGTAGTGTGTGATGTAGGGATGTGATCTAACAGTGCTCTGTTATAGTAGTGTGTGATGTAGGGATGTGATCTAACAGTGCTCTGTTATAGTAGTGTGTGATGTAGGGATGTGATCTTACAGCGCTCTGTTATAGTAGTGTGTGATGTAAGAATGTGATCTTACAATGCTTTGTTATAGTGGTGGGATTTAAGGATTTTATCTAACAATGCTCTGTTACAGTAGTGTATGATGTAACTAAAGATGTAATGTAGGGATGTGATCTTACAGTGCTCTGTTATAGTAGTGTGTG